TAAATAAAAGCACATATTCTATTCATGTAAAAACACCAGGCAGGCCCCACAAATAATGCAGAGATGCATTTCAAATAAAAGGACACATTCTACTCATGTAAAAACACGCTGATTCCCGGACCATCTGTGGGCCGGATTTAGAAGGCGATTGGCCTGGATCCGGCCCCTGGGTCTTAGTTTGCCTACCCATGGTACAGAGGCTCCCTTGCACCCTTGGCAAGAAGCTGTATTGCCCGCCCGCCCCCCAATTCCTTGTGCCCTTGGGAAGGACCTGTGTCAGCGCCTCTGAAGCCAGGAGAGAACATGGACCAGAAACTCAAAATGTTTGCTTTTCATCACCTTTCATGCTCCTGCAATGACTTCTTCCACAGCCATCGGGGGCAGGTCAGCTCTGTTCAGCCTCTCTTCCTTCCTCCTCCTCCTTTGTTGGTTTATTTGCCTCCCTCCGTCCTTCCATCCATCCCTACCACTCTCTCCATCTTTCTTTTCCCCAGCCCCGCTGGTCACTCAGCTCACACTTCTAATAGCACCTATGGATGACTGGGGAGGGGCTCCCACAGGGCTGCTGTGATGGCCCACATCAGTCTTACACTCAGGATTGATGGGAAAACCCAGCCAGGGAGAGTGAGAAGCTTTGGTTAGCAGGGAAAGTTGAGTCAAACATGCCAGGTCTCTTAAGAGTAGTAGTTATGGCTGAACATATCTCCATCAGTTCTCCATCATATCTAGATCTGGTATATACAATTTTTGTGCATGAACAGCAGGTGTAGCTTGGGAATGTGTTGTGCGTAATGTGTCATTACGATATTATGATGTGTATTATGATGTTGCAAGCCACTGCCTTCTCTTCTCTGATAGGCTTTTTCACATGCCTTTGTCTGTTGCCGTCAACACATGTTCAGGCATTTATGACCCTTTTAGACTGACCATAGCCAAGAAAATATTTCCAAGAATTTCCAAGGAAAGAATAAGAATAAGAGTTTGGATTTGATATCCCGCCTTTCATTCCCCTTAAGGAGTCTCAAAGCAGCTAACAATCTCCTTTCCCTTCCTTCCCCACAATAAACACTCTGTGAGGTGAGTGGGGCTGAGATACTTCAGAGAAGTGTGACTGGCCCAAGGTCACCCAGCAGCTGCATGTGGAGGAGCGGGGAATCGAACCCGGTTCACCAGATTACGAGTCCACTGCTCTTAACCACTACACCACACTGGCTGAAGTCTGAAGAGAAGACATATTTCAAACACACACCAAACATTAAAGGAAGAGTGATGCATGTATGTGCTGTGAGCGCAAAGCGAATGGTTTTTACCACTATCCATTGCAGAGGATTCAATTGCAATTGAACAGTGAGTTCCGTGAACAAGCCTTCTCAACTAGAAATGCCTGAGGAATCTGATCTTTCTGAACGCCATAAAACTATATTTATCTGCACCTTCCAAATGTGCAGATTGGAACTTCACTATCTACCATCTTTCATACTTGAAAATGTACTTGAT